ATAAATATATATATTTAATTGATTTCAGAGAGGAAGGGAGAGGGAGAGATAGAAACATCAATGAAGAGAGAGAATCATTGATCGGCTGCCTCTTGTACACCCACACCAGGGGTTGAGCTGGCAACCCAGGCATATGCCCTGACCAGGAATCGAACCGTGACCTCCTGGTTTATAGGTTGATGCTCAACCACTGAGCCATGCTGGCCAGGCTGGCTCCACTCTTGCCCCCTCCATTCCATCCTGGGAGCAGCCAGAGTGATCTTTCAAAAGAGCGAAAGTGCCCATCAGTCTGCCAGAAACCCATAATTGGCCACCCAAGGCCTCCCCTCCTCTCCCCCACCCCAGCCACTCTGGCCAGGCCAGCCATGGAGGTCGCCAGCCCAGGAGGTTTCCAGCCCATCCTTTTGCCAGCCTTACCCCAACCAGGCCCTTTGTCACCCTGGAGACTTACCCTTCCACCCCCTTTCTGAGGACCCGATTCTTCTTGGTCCCCTTGGATGCAGCTCCAAGGTCACAAGATCTGCCTCTGACCTGGACATCCCTTTGTCACCAGCCCACTAGAGCCGTGGGCTTTTTGCTCCCCACTAGAGGAGGACCCCTGAGGGCAGGGCCAGTGTGGACAGCTCCCTGTGCCTCCCACTCGGGCACATGGCACATGTGGGTGGAGACAATGAGCGGGGCCGGGAATGGCAGGCCTGAAACAGAGACGGAAGGAGACTGTACAGGGTCTCGGTGCCAGAGGCCTGGCTGGACAGGTTCCCAGGCTTCCATTCGGCCAGCACCTCGGGTGGGAGGAACCAGTTGCCTTCAGCTCATGCCCCTGACTCTTGCCACGCCAGGGCCCCCAGTGACCCACATTCAGGAAAAGGAGGACACGGGGCTCCCACCTGTCTTAGGGGTCAATGAGACACAGGAAAAGTGGGAACCCGGCTGGGAGTGGGCAGGGAATGTGATGCCCATGGGAATATGAGGGATCGCCTCTGGGAAGGCTCCCACAGGGCCAAGTGGGAAGCCAGAGAATGTCCCCAAAGGGTCAATGGTGCTAGGCATGGGGGTGGGGTGAGGGGGTGGGGAGTAGGGGCTGGTC